TTTTTTTATTTTCACGATTCAATTTAAAATTGATTATCTATATCGATATCTATATAATATATAAATGGGAATAGACAATTGAGATTTTACATCTTCAAATTTGATCCTACTTTTATTTACTTTCTTTTATTTTGGTTTACTTGCCTTTTGTATTATATATTCCATTGAATTTAATTATCATCTCCACAAAACCGAATCTTCTTTGTTTTTTCCATATATTTTAATGCTCAATATATTACACATTTTATTACATAATTTATATAGATACTTCCACCTAATTTGATTAACTTTACATTTTTAACAAATTTCTGATTTTATGTTATTTTTTATGCTTTTATTTCAATAAATTGTATTATATTTATTTATTTATTTTCACTATTTTGTAAATAAAACTCGATTTATCACTCTTTTGTATTTGATTTTATTTTCATTTTTTATTTCCATTTTTGCCCCACATTTTTCTAATATATATTTATATAATATATAAAAGATGAATTTTACTATCAATTTATTGACATTTGTCAATTTTATTATGTTATATATCCCGAATTTCATCCCATTTGTCAATTTGATTGGTGGGAAAAATAGCAAAAAACATGTCATCGATACATTTCATTTACATTCCACATCATTTTTGGAAATTAGTAGTATTACCATTAATTCAGCTCTATTAATCCAACTCTGCTTAATTATACAAATGATCATTCAAATCTTACCAATAAGGAAACCATATATCCATTTCTCTCTCTCTTTTTTTTTTCTCCGAATAAATATGGTCATTTCTCATTTTCATTTATTTTACATTACCAGCCAAGATATCAAACAATTATATCTATTTATATTGGTATAGTTAAAGAAAATCTTTGAATTTTATTTACCATTAACCACATAATACATGGGATAACATAACAAATAAATTTATCTATTTTTGAAATTCAAATTCCTTCCTTCCTTTACAGCAATCTTGCATTAATTATAATATTATTTTCCTTATATATAATTTCCACTCGAGCTATAAAATGGGCATCCGACGCCTTCACTTTCATCATTGTTCGTATCCGTTCCGTTTTATATTTGTTTATTCGTGTAATGTTATTTTTTTCTTTATTCTACATTCGTTACTTTGTTATTTCCCGTATTATGTATTTTACTTGACCATATACTTTAAAAAGGTGTTATTTTGATGAAGATTTGATCATGTTTCACCCTTGCAGATAAATGATCGAGGTCGAGAAACTAATAGGATCGTCTCACACTTGGGGAATGTTAATTCAATGTATGATATAAAAAGTGAATTTTTTTTTTTTACGCGTTGACTTATTTTTTTCGTACTCCTTTGTCTTAGTTCGCTTCATTACTTTTTAATTATTGTTTTATCATTTTTTTTACTGTTTTGCAAATACCGAGATGAGATTTGAATTTTTTTTGCATCATCATCACATTACTACTACGGTGGTTGATTCACCTTTGCCATTTTTCTTAATATATGTT